CCAAGAAGGCAGAGGCAGTTAGGGTTGAGCAGGCAGGCAGGCAGAGATGTTAGGGGCAATCAGGCAGGCAGGCAGAGGAGTTAGGGGCAATCAGGCAGGCAGGCAAAGGCAATTCAGGGCGATCAGGCAAGCACGCACATGAGTAGTTAGAAGCCAGCGGTCCCAGATTGCGAGGGGGATGTCTGACCGCCAATTTAGGCCTGTGGGATTGGGCCTAAACCAGCAGTCAGACATCCTCCGAAGGGTCCCAGATTGGAGAGGGTGCAGGCTGGGCTGAGGGATACCCTTCCCCTGGCTCCAGTGCAAATAACAAGAGAGTCCAATGCATGAAAGAACATATTTGTCAATGTTATCTCTGATAAGGGTTTAATCTCCAACATTTATAGGGAACTCATATAGCTTAACAAAAGGAAGATAAACAATCCAATTAAAAAATGGGCAAAGGACCTAAATAGTCACTTTTCCAAAGTGGACATACAGAAGGCCAAGAGACATAGGAAAAAATGTTCAAAGGCACTGATCATTTGAGAGATGCAAATCAAAACAACAATCGAGTACCACCTTACACCTGTCAGAAAGGCTGTCATCAACAAATCAATAAATGGCAAGTGCTGGCAAGGATGTGGAGAAAAAGGAACCCTCATACACTATTGGTCAGAATGCAGATTGGTGCAGCCTCTGTGGAAAACATATGGAGTTTCCTCAAAAATTAAAAATGGAACTCCTATTTGGCCCAGTAATCGCACTTCTAGGAGTATATCTCAAGAAATCAGAAATACCATTAAGAAAGAATATATGTACCCCTATGTTCATAGCAACACAATTTACAATAGCTAAGATTTGGAAACAGCCTAAGTGCCCATCAATAGATGAGTCGATTAAAAAACTGTGGTGCATCTACGTAATGGAATACTACGCTGCTATAAAAAAAAACAAGAACTCTTACCATTTGCAACAGCATGGATGTACATGGAGAGCGTTATGCTAAGAGAACTAAGCCAGTCAGAGAAAGAGAAATATCACATGATCTCATTCATTTGTGAAATATAATGAACAACATAAAGTGATGAACAAAAATATATCCAGAGACATAGAAGCATCGAACAGACCAACAAACTTCAGAGGGAAGGCAGGGAATTGTGGTGGAGAGGGGGTAAGAGATCAACCAAATGACTTGTATCCATGCATATGAGCATAACCAATGAGCACAGACACTGGGGGGGGGGGGGGGGGGAGTGTGGTGGGGGGTGTGG